ATAAAATTCTTTTATATTAGCACATGTATAAAAAAAAATCTGTTATAGAAGAAAGAATACGACTTTAATTAAGTCAGTATAAAGTCCGAACAGTATGCGCGTTTCTCTGCGCGCAGATCTGATGTCTGAATAAACAATTATCGTCTGGTTAACGCATTAGTAGTTCACTGCCGGTTAAAGTGTCATAGTCATCACTAGGTTAACCAAAGATGGAAGTTCGAACAGAATTAATTACGGAACTTCGTGAAAAATTTTTTAAAAAATTGGCCGACGAGGGACCACCAGATCCTAGTGTGTATATTTATTTTCATATTGTAAGACTGTACTTTTTCTTTCCAATTGCGTTTTGCAAAACGTAATTAATTCATAAAATGAAATTTAAGATTAAATGTCATCCCAAGGCCAATATGTTTTCAATATGTAGTCAATAAAAGAATAAAAATTATTTTTACAAATTTATGAAGTCTTTATTCTATTTTTATGCACTCAATTGACAAAATATATAATGCATGAAAATATTATAAAATGACAATATTATTTATAATTTAATTGAATATATTCCAGAGTTTCATCCTGTAGATATTGCTAAAATAAAAGATAATAACCATTGGTTACAAAGATTTTTGGAGCATAATGAAAACAATGTGCAAGAAGCACTTAATATGTTATGGGAAACTTGCTGTTGGAGGAGTAAATTTGGCACAAATGGTATGGGTTATACAGAATTCATATTTTTTCTTTTTATTTGTTTTTAAATTTTTCTTTATATATGTGACAGTGAAATAAGTCATATAAGGTCATATAAACATGGGATTTTTCTCTTATCCTTAGAAAAAATAAAATAGGATATAAAAATTTGACAACCTATTTTATTGTCATCTTGTAAGTTTTAACAAAATTATTACAATATTATTTATTGACAGAGATTACAGAAGAGAATGTAATGAAAGAATATTTAAATAGCGAACTGTGCTTTATTCACGGTAAAGATAAAGATGCTAAAACAATGTTTGTTATTAGATGTAAATTGCACACTAAAGGAAGCAAAGACTTTAGTCAGTTGCAAAAGCTCGTTGTGTATTGGTTTGAAAGATTAGAAAGGTAAAATAACACAATTTATAATAAATTATTTATCAGTTTGTTCTTAAAATTAATATTACTATATTGTATTTCAGACAAACTAATGGTAATCAAATTTCACTTTTCTTTGATATGTCAGATACTGGTATTCTAAATATGGATATGGAATTTATCAAATACCTGATTAATCTTTGTAAAAATTACTATCCTAATTTTTTAAATTATATTATTATTTTCGAAATGCCATGGATATTAAATACTGCATTTAAAATTATAAAGTCATGGTTGCCACCTAAGGCAATTCCAAAAATTAAATTTGTACAAAAAAGTAACATACATGAGTTTGTAGAACCTAATGATATACTTACATGTTGGGGAGGTAGTAATGAATATGTCTTCAAATTTGTATCAGAAGCACAAAACAGTGTAGATGCTACAATGAATGGTAAATTTGATAATAAAAAGGTATATACTTATTTATTGGAGAAATAAATATCAAATAATTCATTTGAAAATTAATTTTTTATCTTTATATAACTATAGGTACATTTTACAGAAGCTTCTCCATTAACAGAACAATCTCCAAGCAATTTTGGAGAGCAAGCAATTGAAGAACAATGTAAGTAAAACAGTGTTTTGTTATAATTATTGAAAATATTTGGAAAGGTAAAACTTTTATTCTTATATTGATAAATAATATATATTGTCTTGTAGTATTATCTATTGAACCAGATGCACTCATATTTAACAAAACCGGGAATGAAATTAGTGGAACAATTACATTAAAAAATATAACCACTGATAAACCTTTATCTTATAAGGTATGATGAGTTTTTCTTTTACGATAAAATTATATAATAGTACGGGACATAATATTTTCTATTATAGGTAAAAACAACATCACCAGGGAAGTTTAAAGTACGTTTAAGTTCGGGAGTTTTATTACCTCAAGAACAACGCACGATTTCAGTTGTTGTGCAACAAGAGCATAACATGCGCGGCCTTTTACAAGTTGATAAATTTTTAGTTATGTGCCTTCCATTAAAAGATCCAAATGCATCGGCCCAAGAACTAGCAGCTTTATGGAAGGTAATAATATGTTAATTATATAAGCCTTTAATATGTAATTGAATTGTTTGTAATTTATATTTTATTCAGTCTGAGAAACCAGCAGAAGAACATAAATTAAGATGCTGTGATGGTGGAATTACAAGTAGTGAATCATTAAAATTACATTCCACCTCTGGTATATCAGAAAGTGGTCAAATAGATATACTTTCCCGTAAAGTAAGGAAAATAATTGTGATCAGAAATATGATATTAATAAATAATGTACTAATATATAAATTAATTTCTTACAGATAGCACATTTGAAAGATAGTCATACAAAGCTGTATAATGATGTTGCTTTTTTAAAGCACTTATCATTCTTTTCTATGATAGTTACAATTATAATGGCCATAATAGTTATTTATATTTTAAAAATTGACATTAAAAATACTGTGGATCAACAGACTTGTCACATTCACCATGGGATATAGATTGTTTAGATACAAATTTATTTAAGTTATATATATATATATTTAAGTTATATATATATAACATTATATTATATATATATA